AAAGGGCTAAGTGGCCTAGTCTTCGTCGGGGGCAACATTGTCACCCTCGGGATCTTCGCCATCCTCGGACTCTCCCAAGTCTTCGGGCTCCTCGTCGTCTTCAGGATATGCCAATTTTTTGGCCTTGGCTTCAAGCTTTTTGGCGCTCTCAATCTCAACTGATAAGTCGAAGCCCCGAGCATGAATTTCATCAAGGGCCTCCCTTCGAGATTGCCACTTAGTGTGCTCGATGATGTCTTTTGCTCAAACCTAAGCCGACTCAACATTGGCCTTATAAACGGCCACCATCTCATTGGCATCGGCCTTAATTACTTTGGCCCTCGACTTGGCCGCATCAAGCTCCGTGGCCAGATTTTCTCGATCAAAGACAACCGAATTCAACTGGGATTGGAGCTCCTCATTGGCCTGTACCAAGGACTTCTTCTTTATACCTCGAAACTGGACCTCAGCTGAAGCTAGTTGGCCCTGGGCAGTCTCTTTTTCTGAGGTCAGGCGGTCCATATTCTTTTTCCATTCTTCGACCTCGGCCTTTACCGCATCTACCTCTTCCCGGAGTTTTTCAATCTAGTAAAGCTTCTGTTGGACCGCGGGTTAGGACCGTTAGTCACCGTGTCTGATTCGTCATCACTAACTTCAAAAACTCTTCTTAACTGCTCAACCAGGTTGGCATGCTCTTTCCGAGCCACCTCTAACTCAGCCCGGAGGCTCTTAGCCTCCCCTTCTCTTTGCTCACTGAGAAGTTTGTAAGTATCTCTTTTCTCAGTGAGCCCTCGGATCTCGGCCTCGTACTGGTCCAGCTTTTCCCGATGATGGAGGAACGTCTCGTGGTGGAGTACCGAGGCCTACAAACATAGAGAAAGGAGGTATGATCACCTACAGACTAATCTAAGTATAAACTAAAAATTATTAAGAAGTATCTGAAGTTACCTGATTTAACATCGTTAAGCTTCATTGAACAGGCAGGGGGCTTCCACCTAATTCATTTTGGCCTGGTCCTCCTCTGTCACCAAGCATCGGAGATAACTAGCCACCGCTACGGGGGCAGAAAGAACCCGAGCTTCTTCCGGGATGGACATAACGATCGAACGCTTACGGTCAGGATTCGCACTCGGAGCCAGGAACCGATTGACTAGTTTAGGACTTGAGGAAGGTCCACTCGTCCCCGATGATGTATTCTTCCTCGGCACCAGTAAATCACCCAACCCGGTGACGTCCTCGGTAGCGGTAGAGTCTACGCCATCAAAAAGTTTTGAAAGGGGTCTACCGCCTCTTGTGGCGCCCGAGCACTAAGTGCTACCCTTAGATTTATGCACCAGACTTCTTTTTGTTCTCTTCTTTTCCGAGCTCGGAGAACTCTGGGCCCTCTTCCATTTCTTCTCATCACCCTGCCTCGGAGCAGAGGACTCGGCGAGTACATCCTCGTCACCGAATGGAGGCCTCATAGCAACATCCTTGGATAGACCTGCAAAAGAAAATGGAACGAATAAGAACTCAACGGCACGAGGAAAAAATCTAGTATTATTAACTCGGAAAAGGAAACTCACCATGGGAACGGGCCACCCACCGGCCCTTCGAAAGTTCGCGCCACACGCGCTCGGAATAGGGCTTCTATGACACGATGCCCTCGACCCACTCCTTGAGTCAAGGAACTGCATCCGGCATCCAAACAACAGTTGTACCACAAAACATCGATAAGAAGGGAGGAAAAGGAAAAGCAATAAACAAAATCTTAAAGGCAAGGTTATACTTACGTTTCATGTTCCATTTCTCGGGAAATGTCATGTCATCGGCCGGGATTAAATCCGAGGTCTTCACTCGAATGAATCGGCCCAACCAGCCTCGGTCCCGATCCTCGTCTATACTCGAGAATGGGGCCCAACTGGCAAGACGGGAAAGTTTATTAATCCCCCTCGAAAGTGTCGGGGACTTTGCAGACGCATGAGGTGATCGATGGTGAAGGCACACCCCTCAATTTTGTTTATGAAGAAGTGGAGGAGAATTTCTATCCTCTAGAAAGAGGTATGGATTTGACCGAGGGTCACCTCATATCTCTTACAGAAGGCGATGATGACCCGGTCCAAGGGACCCAACGTGAAGTGATAAGTGTAAACACTTCAAAAAAAACCTCCCCGTGGGTAGTAATCGCTTCCTCGGGCGAAGAATCACCACGTGCTTACCAACCCAGTTGCAATCCTTCTTGACCTTGGGAGGAGACTGTCGGTGATCGAGCATATATATCTCGAGACCGGCTCGCACCGACCCAGTACCGGGGAGGTTTTCTCGACCTTGAAATCAGCACAGATTGAGCACCCGCCAGGAATAAACGCTTCAAGAGGAGGTTCCGCCACTGGTTCCTTGCCGGCCAGCCGTGATGAAGAGGCAGTTTCTTTTTGTGGAACTGTCTTAGAAGTCTTCGCCATTTTTCTATTGAATAAAGATGAAGAAGAGGAAGTTAAAAGGCTATACTTAATGGTTTGGAGAGAAGACAAGCAAGAGTTCTTGCAAAGACCTCAAGAAATCTGGGTACAAGTGTTAGAGAGTGCAAAGATTTTTTAAGAACAAGAGTAGAAGAGGTTTAGATGTAAAGCTTGAATGAATGAAGGATGGAGTATTTATTGTTTTCAAACGACGGTTCAAAGTCTGTAGTGGCTGACCAGCGACGTGACTGACAAGACGTTTCGTCCATTTTTGTCATTCTGACGCAAATTATCGAGATGAGGATCGGGGGCTCATATCGTTTCTCGCTATTTACACTCCAAAAAATGAGGGGACTATCTGTATACGGTCGAATTTGAGCTCATCTATTGCATGACAGATTGGGATTAAAACATAATGAATTGAAGATCGACCCCGGGTTCCATCGAACCAGGATATGAGGTTAGAAAAACCGTCTTCGATGTTACCAAGTCCATGACCCCGGAATCGACCCTGATTCCAAATGAGCCCGAGGTAACATTATCGGACCAGATAATGGAAGGCCGAAATATCCGTAACCGGTCGGGTATTACGGCAGAGATCTCGGCATGTATCAATGAGGAACCGGTTAGTTAGCAAATCATGAGATTTTTTACCTTTTATAAAATTGTATCTAAAGTAGGATTACCCTACTATATAAAGGGGGTCCGATTATTTGCAAGACACATTATTACATGCATCCTAAGGCATTATAATATAATTTTCTTTCTGCAAGCTACTATTCTTCTGTATCTTATATCGTTTGAATTGCATCCAATTCAAGTGAAATTACTTTTAGAGGCTATAATTGTTCAAGTCATACGGTTTGAATTTATTTTATTGTTGTTCACTTATTTATAATTCAATTTAATCGCTTTGCGTCAGATTAAACCACGTGTCCTAAAAACCACTTATAAATTCAATTGTCATTCGATTCTGAGGGTAAACAAATACATTATTCAATACTTATCTGATTTATAAAAACTGTTTACATATTGACATGAAAAACACGTGCAAAACGCATACTGAAAACTAATAGAAACAAATTGCAGGGAAGTTATTACCACTCACCATAAGTGTGACGGTCACGATTCTACGAATTTGGGTCGTGGCAAATGTGTCCTCCAAATTGGTTTCTTTGCATCAACTAATATAAATCATCTACTATCAATGCTTATCGAGATTCCTAAATGACATACATCCAACACAACATTTATTTGCATTTCCTGTTTTCTCTTTTATTCAGTTAAGCTTACTTTCATTTCAGCTCATTTTTCATTATCTTCCAACATGTACAAGTTCCTCACTTTCATTTATTATTATATGCAAATGTCGTGACTTTCACTATAAGATATTTCATCAAGAAATTGAGAAGTGTTAGTTGGTCTATTCGACTGCTACAATTGATTAACTAACTCATTACCTTTTGCCAATACTTATTTAAAATGTATTCCCATAAAAATATTAAAGAAAATAAAAAAAAATGAATCTGTAGAGTTTGCCAATCTGAAAATTTCAATTTCCCTGACATTTCCAACGGTCATATTATGTATAGGTTCATGGGTTTTCTGTTTTCTCATAGTATTTTAATTTAGTTTAAAGCAGGGTTTTCTAAACCATATATATGCCAGCGACAAGAAACCAGAAATTCTTAACAGTTGACAAGTAACCAAATACTACTCCACAACAATTTAAATCTCAGGTGCTCATTTTTCAGTTGATGACAGCTTGAATTTCTGGTTACCCATAATACCCTCTATTCTTGTATAATTGCATTAAGCCCCTTATCAGTTGTCAGTATTGTCACTTTTCCCCCCTTCTTTATCCTTAATGGTAAGTCTTCCTCTCCCCATTCAATCACATCCGACCAAGATTAGGAAATGTGTACAAGAGACTTGAGTTTAGAATATTTTAGCATTAGAATCCAGAACTTAACTATTGAAAAATCATTGTTTTCTTTGCATCCCAATTCATGTGATGTGATGCAGCGTGCTTTCTTTCGTGATTCTTAACTTATAATTCCAAGTTCTTAACTTATATTTCCAAGTTCTAAAGTTAGAAGTTGATAATAATAATAAGTGGCTTAACAATTTTTTTTCACACGATGTATGGTTCTTTTTTGAGTAAAATCTTTGTTTATATTTAGAAGTTCTTAAGGTAATTATAGAAATCAAACAACATAAACAGGAGATTATGAATGCCCTATGTTAGAGTTCATATCATAGTAATATATTTGATAAGAAATAGTAGTGATATATACTTAGATGTATGGACTATGGTTGGATAAAACTTAGGGAGTTGAGAAAAGAATTACAAAGTGATAAGTACCAAACAGACAAAGGGCAAAATAGACAAAGCAAGAAATGGTAAGAACCAATGACCAAGATTCTGACTAATGTCTGTCTAGATGAACCCACGCACACTTTAATGCTACACCTTTGTCTCCTCCTTTGGCTTTTCCCACATTCCAATCCTCATTTTGCCTCTTTCTTTCAAAAAAACTATACTTTCCTTTCTCCCTTACCAAACCCCCCCACCCCACCCCACCCCACCCCACCCCCTCCTCCCCTACCCCACGTTGTTCAAGAAAACCCTTTACTCTCTTCACTTTACTCTCTCAAAACCCCCCAAACCCTCCCATTTTTTGTGTTTCTGCAACTTCTTGCTGTGGAACCAAGAAAAGTAGAGTGTAGATTCAAGAAAGAGAGGTAAAAAGCAAAAGGGTATCTTGTAAAAATGCACCATTTCTTCTTCACCATATTCCTACTGTTGAGCAGCAGCTGCTTCATCTATCAAACAACCTCAAAATCCACCATTGAGCCATGTTCCAACTCAGATACTTGCTCTTCACTTGTTGGCTACACACTCTACACTGACCTCAAAGTTTCTGAGGTGGCCTCACTCTTTCAAACTGACCCAATCTCTCTTCTCACTACCAATGCTATTGATATCTCATACCCTGATGTTGAAAACCACATACTTCCAGCTAAATTGTTCCTTAAAGTTCCTGTTACATGTTCTTGTGTTGATGGGATCTTTAAGTCTGCTTTTGTACATTACAAGACTAGACCTTCAGATACTTTGTCTTTGATTGCTGACACTGTATATGGTGCTCTTGTTTCTGCTGACCAGATTAAGGAAGGGAATCCTAGTGCTGTTGGTTCTGATCCTTCAGTGCTTAATGTTGGGACTAACCTTTGGATTCCACTTCCTTGCACTTGCTTTAATGGGACTGACAATAATCTACCTGCTATTTATATGTCATATGTTGTTAGACCTGTGGATACTCTTGCAGGGATTGCTGCTACCTATTCCACTACTCTTACTGATCTTATGAATGTCAATGCTTTGGGCAGTCCTGCTATTAAGGAGGGTGACATTCTTGCCATTCCCTTGTCTGGTCAGCAATCCTGTCTTCTCACTCTTCTTTTTGTTGTGTGTGTGTGTGTGTGTTTCTGCTATGTAGGTGGTTGAAGTGTTTGATTTGCCATCTGTAGTATGTGGTAAAAAAAAAAAAAGGCAGCCCGGTGTACTATAGTATATGGTGTTTGTGGATATTATACATATAAAAAAGGGTTACCTATAACCTTCTAATGCATATAGAGGATGTAATATGAACTGATTAAGATTTCATGTCCAACATAAGAATCCTCCTTTGTTTCTAATCAACCTTAGGACTTTATTTAGACAATGCTTGTAAAAGAAATTACATTTAATAGTTGATATATTATGCTAAGGTTTATGAAGCAAATGTGAATACAGGTTTGATGTGTTTTTGGGTGATTTCATTTGTTTCCTCTTAAAGAATGTTCATTCTTGGTGAGAACTGCTTAGGATGACCGATGTGGTTACAATTCATAATTGTGTGTGAGATTATGGAGTCAACAGTTGAGAGTCACCTGTAATAATCTTTTCTCTTCTTGTCACAAGGTGTAAGTAAATTACTTAATAGTTCTTGAAAAGACATATTACAGCAGCATAAGCCGAGAGTAGCATGTGGAGAGTTTTTCTTATCCATTTTAGGTGACTAAGAGAACAGGACAGGATTTTTATTCTGAAGATTGGATTTAAGCTTTCTCAGTTGGATAATATATCGTTTCTGGTTAAATCAGAAACAGATACTCTTTCCATTTCTTGTTGTTCGGAAGTATTTCTTCTTCTTAAGTTTCATTGTTTCTTGTTCTTAATTCTTTTTTTAGGTTGTAATTTCTCCAGTAGGAACTGCATTAGAGAAGAGATTTTATAACAACTGCTCTGCCAAAATATTTCATAGTTGGATATCCAGTGTTCGTAAATAAGGATATAACTTCATTTATCTTGAACTTACTAACAGAATTGGAGTAATGTTCCTTGAATTTTTTGCTGAGAGATGTTTGATAATGATAGATGCTGTTATCTTCTATTGCAGCTTGTGCATCTAGCTTCCCAAGATTTGCCTCAGATTATGCCTTATCTGTTGCGAACGGGAGCTATGCTATTACAGCTAGCCACTGTGTGCAATGCAGTTGCGGACCAGGAAGTCGGAAGTAAGTCAGCAGATTTTCATTTGCAGTTATCGAGGTCTTTTGGAAGTTCTGATCATGATATTGGTGGTTATTTGCAGTTTGTACTGCATGCCAGCTTCCTTAGCAGTTTCTTGCTCAAGCATGCAGTGCAAGAACAGCAATCTCATGCTCGGAAATGTTACTGTACAACAGACTGGCGGTGGTTGCAATGTGACTTCTTGTAATTATGGTGGCTTTGTCAATGGAACCATCATCACTACGTGAGCATCATACTTCGATTTTCTACTCTTAATTGCTTAGCTATTATGGTCTCTGATTTCTGTTGCTTGTGGCCTTTGACACACTTTGTATGTCCTTGTGCTGGTTGCAGATTATCCTCATCTCTTCAACCTCGATGCCCAGGTAAATGACATTCAATTGATATTCTTTTTATTTGGTGTTTTAAGAAATATAGAGACCAAAAGCATAACTCTGTTATCTCTTATTATTTCTCTTGGGGGGCACCTACACCTTTTATGTTGTGATTGATAATTTGCTGTAGTCATTCTCATGCATTAGGGTACAAATTTCTATTCTAGTATGCCACATAAATGCAAACATACTTGATGGCTTGCTATAACTTCTTTTGGGCAAATCATTTCACTACACTGTGCCACAAATGTTCTGTTGTTTCTTTTGCTTAACGCATCATATGTTATTCCCTATTCTTCAATCGAAATTTTTTTCAGGACCGCAACAATTTCCTTCACTTGTTGTCCCACCTACTTCGGTAGGCCCAGACTCAATGTTTGCTCCTGCTCCTTCACCTTCTGAATCTGGCGGTGCTCCAATGGATGGTCCACATTCTTCCGTGGTGCCTGCATCTGGCTCAGTTATCGCATTTCCACCTTCAGGTGGACCAAGTGGAAGTGCATCTTCTGCTTGGTCGTTGAACCCTTTAGCTAGTTTTCCAATTGCAATTCTCTTGTATCTGTGTGTGAAATATGCGATCTCACTTCCGTTATGAGTTGATGATCAGGTTGCGGACTTTTTCCTTGCTAGATTGAAGAGGAAGGATGTGGAATCTTGTTTTGCTTTGTTCTTTTCTTCCTATAGGTGTAATTTTCACTGTATACTATTTTATTGTTCCTGAATTCTGTAGTTAATTTAGTGAACTTCTATTTTGTGAAATTTTTATTTTAATCTACATCTGTGGCCACTGGTAACTGTGTCTCCGGTTCTGCATAGTGTAACCTTCCCACATTATAACCAATTAGATGCAGAAAAAATTTAAATTACGTTTCTTTAGACTTTAATTATCTACTATTTGAATTGAGATATGATAATTTGTTGAAGTTATCTTCACATCGTCTTGATCATTTTGCTATTAGATTTGAAGTTATACTGCATTGAGCTGGGCTAGATATGGCTTATTTGGTTGTGTGGGGAAGCTATTAATGTTGAGGAAATGTTTCTGATAGAGAAGCAATTTCATCTCTCATTTAGGAAAGCATATATTCAAAATGGTTGATCAGTCATTTCTCTTTTATGGTTATAGAATTATCACAAGTTTCAACTTTTTGGCACAATTTTGACTCTAGTATTTTAGTACAAGAAAATAGATGGTCGGTTACAGCTTCAGCCTGTTTTAAACATAGATGAAAGTGCCAACAACATTGTTGCTTCTCAACTGCTAAAATATTAACGTCCTTCAACTTTTAATCTGTAGAAACATCATGTATATAGTAAAATGTGACTAGGCCTTTTCCTGTTTTTTTCTCAACAAGTTAATAACATAGACTAATGCCGGAATTGTAAGCACAGAGATAACATAGAGGAAACAATTAAGAGAACCACCATAGTTAAGTACGGATCCAAACTTATAAGACAAGGAAGAATAAAAGCAACAAGAAGTGTTTCACCAATAACTCGTACAACATGAGATAAACAACAAGAATCACAAACGAGATATCGCCTCGTGTACAAGAATCACAACCGAGGTACCGCCTCATATACAACAAGAATCAAAATCGAGGTACTGCCTCATATTCACTTTTCTCAATTTCAATCACAATTTTTCCTTATACCATTCTCACATGCCTTCACAATCCAGCCCCCAAAACCTCAGGAATACCAAAATTTTCATACCCGAATTCAACTGCACAAATCTAATGGCTGATACATCACTCACACCCCATCATCTTACTGAAACACCCATATAGATTTTCCGGCCGCGTAACAAAACCTGAACCTCAAAAGCCTCAAAACCCAGTAATCACCATGCCACTAGCCACGCACCCGCAAACCAAAACTCGAGGTTCTTTCCTAAAATGCACGTCCTTCACATATGATATCCAGTAATGCCAACCTTCTATTAACTTCTGATATCCATCCAGGAGAAAACCATAATGTACAACACATTCCTTATGCCCATAGCAGCCAGCCTACTCCAGTCGTTGCCGAAACCATCAAGAACTCTCCGAGATCCACCCGCACGCAACTAAGCCATCAGGACCGCATCTCCCTAACTCAACCGAGTCACACAACCTGTCCAATCCAAGAGTACTGCCACAAAATGCCAGTAGAGAATTCCTATTCAAAAGGACCAATTACTTCCATTGCTATGTTGACCCAATACCACAGAGCTGGCCCATCTCTTCGGATACTCCTGGGGTGATACTTGTCCCTATCGATATGCAATGATCCCAATCGAAACCCAAATGCAGATAATCCTAGCACGAACCACATAGCCCAAAAGCTCATAAACCACCGCATTTCCTCTAAAGCACCCCGTAATAGCTTAACCAAGCTGCCCACACTAAATAGACCATCTGTGAATCTGAAGTTGTTTTCTCCGACTCCCCTTGATTCTGAAATGTAGATCCATTAATGACGCAGAAATACTGTAAACTCTGACATCATCCTATGCAATATCTCAGATCTGAGTCATATACAAATTTTCGAGAAACCTTTCAATACCCTATATACACATCTCAGGCCAAAACTGATATAACACCTGACTCTACAATCTGCATGCCGCTAGTGGACTCCTCCACTTGGCGCGAAGCCCTGGAAAACAACATCTGATGATCTGCAAAACTAACCTCTACAACTCGTACAACACAAATCACAAGGTACTACAATACCACCAACTATCCTCAATCAACATCCACCTCGTGACCCCACCACGATCTCGACGACTAGTCAACCAATTAAACCTTCCCAAGCTCGTACCCATTAACCAGATGCCGAGACCCGTTGCTCCTCCATGTGAATAACTAAATAGTACTTCAATACCTTCGCATCTTTAGTCTAGACGACACGTTGAGACAATTTTCGTGCATCCCTGGCTCCCTCGTAGCCCATCCACATCATCACGAACCACTGGCGCATAGCGGATACTGAGAGCGCAATATCATACACGAGTGGATGTAAAGGAACATAAGATATATGCTTCAAGCTGAATTGATGTCGTACGACAAGGAATGAAAGAAGTGGAATTTCCTAATAGTTTTGTAGCCCTTCGAAGATAAGTACAGACGTCTCCATACCAATCCGCAAGGCTCTACTAAACTTGCTTATGACTCGTAACACCAACCTAGGGCTTTGATACCAACTTGTCACGACCCAAAATCCCTCCGAAGGAGTCGTAATGGCACCTAGTCCCTATAACTAGGTAAGCCTAACATTAACAGAAATAACGACAATATTTACTAACTTCGAACAATTCCGAAATAGAAATCTTTGTACAATTTATAATCCCAAAACCGGTAGTACAAGTCATAAGCCTTTCTAGGAGTAGTTATACATAATATATACATCACCGTTCCGGAACAAAAGGAAATAATGGAAATAAATGCAATAGAAGGTGACTTCGGAGCCTGCGAACGCCTAGCAGGTGTACCTTGAAGTGTCCAGCCACACAAAGCATAAATCTCAAAACCAACTCGATCCGAAGTATCTGGTTCTGCACAAAAAGATGTGCAGAAGTGTAGTATTAGTACACCACGGTAGTACCCAGTAAGTATCAAGCCTAACCTCGGTAGAGTAGTGATGAGGTCGGGTCAAGACACCTACCGAACACGAAAACCTGAGCAAGGTATGACATAAAGCTAACAAGGTAGGGATATCAAAGTGATGCCAATAACATGAATAAATCAAATTACAAAGAGTAATGACGATAAGGGAAAACACGAATGGCAATGAGAATTAACCAAGTAATTAAACAACAACGCAGTTGGGATACAAACAAGTGTAAATGTGCTCAGGTAGGGAAAAAGATGTCAAATCAACCAAACAAATTATTTCTAATACACGATTTCACTAATTTCATTTCTCGTAATCTCATACCATAAATCGCAACTTCTTACCCTTTAATACACGACATCTTGTGCCCATCTTTCCATCTCACTTTGCACGGCAAAACCACGTGCTACTCGGTACATAATATCTCTATCAAGTGCTAATTAAGATGATCAAGAGATTCCATTTATATATACCATAAAGTAAATTTACAGTTTCTAGACCAAATAGGAAATCAGCGAGAAAGATGAGTTTTGTTTTAGAAATCATTTGAGTGAAGAAAATAACATTTTCGAATAAAATTCAACATTGAATAGCTATTGAATTTAATATAGAATTTATTAAGTAAAACATAATAACAATTCCTTTTTAAGTAAAATAAAAGAAAACCTCAGGCAAGTGAAGAAGATTAAGCTGGGGAAGCAATTGAAATAAAATATAACGATTATTAAAAATAGTAGATACTAAAATATATGGCAAGTTCTAACTTAAGTCACACAAGGAAGCATGATATTAATTCTTTCATTTTAAATCACGATATTACTAACGACTCAGCAGGGCAGGAGGAAATGATTCAACGTAATAAGTTTACTTTGAAAATCAATTCACCGAAATAATAGTATTAGGAAAAAAGCTCAGGAAATGACGGCAAGGCAATAAGTCAATGACAATAACTTGATCCTCAAAACTCAGTGAAAACCAGTAATACAGATTATCAAAGTCTCGCACGAAGGAACTAAAGTCAATACAGCAAAACAGGGGATACCAAAATACAAGATATCTTGCGGCGCGTAACCCGATCCCACCATATAATATCAATATCATAAGTAGTCCTTATTCCACCATATTAATTCACCCTTATTTCACCTGTTGTGGCGTGCAACCCGATCCCATCGTACAATATCAATATCATAACAATAAATATAATATGTTGCGGCGCGCAACCCGTTCCCCCCATATAATATCAATATCATAATTCACCCTTATTTTCACAAAACAATTCACCTTTATTTCACCTGTTGCGGCGTGCAACCCGATCCCACCGTATAATAACAATATCACAATATAAATATCCTCCCTTATTCCACCACCTCCCTTATTTCACCTGTTGCGGCGTGCAACCCGATCTCCAGTACAATAATTTAAATCAACAATAATCATTCAACAACTCAATTACAAGAATTTCTACAATCAATAGTATGAGTACACGGCAACAAGAGAACCACGTAAAAATCAAAGGAATACAACAACCTTTACAAAACAACAAGACAAGTAAGGCATGTGATAACTACGCATGCAATCACAACAATTTGGACATGTAGCATATATGCACAGAGTCATAGAGGAACTCACAATTAAGAAGTAACAAAACAACAAGGAAGGCAATAACTTCAACTAAGGCAAATAAGGCCAAACAATGAGCAAGAGGTAAATAAATGCTAACAACATCAAATAGAGCATGTAAGTGTAACCTAACAATACGATACCACATATTATGACAATTTGATCAAAGGCATGAAAGACTAGACAATCTAACCGGTCAACACCTCATATAAACTGTGTATCTACTCGTGACCTTGCGTACACGGCTTTTACATATCAAGATAGTACAATTGACTCAATTCCTAAGGGGTGATTTCCCCCACACAAGGTTAGACAAGATACTTACCTCAATGCGGCTAACTCAATACTCAATTTAGCTTTTCCTTTACCAATTCACCATCGCTCGGCCCAATCTAGCCAAAGACGACTTAAATACATCAAACAATGCAAGAGAAAATAATTTTAATTAACAAAGTTATGATCCTTACACAATTTACAAAAAGTCAATAAAAGTCAACTCCCCAGTCCCGCACCTCAGAACCCGACAAAATTTATAAAACCCGAGCACCCATTGCGATACGAGTTCAACCATACAAAAATTATCAAGTTCCGATGTCAAT